TTAAGCCAGCTCCGGCAATTTTCCAGCAGATAATGGATACTATGGTGTCTAACGTCGAAGGTGTAGCAGTTTACTTGGACGATATTATAGTTGTTGGCTCTTCCACGCAGGAATTAATGCGTCGGTTAGATGTGGTGCTCACTAAAATATCACAAGCCGGTTTTCAGTTACAAAAAGAGAAGTGTGATTTTCTGCTCGAGTCTGTCAAATACCTTGGATATATATTTGATAAAGATGGTCGTCGACCGGATCCAGATAATATAAATGCTATCAAAAGTATGCCCAGACCAACTGAAGTTACAACCCTTCGTTCATTCTTGGGGATGATTGGTTATTATAGTATGTTCGTACCACAAATGTATAAATTGCGACACCCATTAAATCAACTCTTGATGGCTAATACAACATGGCACTGGACAAGAGAATGCCAAGATTCTTTCGATGAAATAAAAAGGATTTTATCTTCTAAACTGTTGCTGACTCATTATAATCCTAACCTTGAAATAATTGTAGCCGCCGATGCTTCAAACTATGGAATCGGAGCTGTTATTAGCCATCGTTTTCCTGATGGCAAAGAAAAGCCAATTGCTCATGCATCCCGAACTCTTAACTTAGCTGAGCGGAAATATAGTCAGATTGAGAAAGAAGGACTAGCTTTAGTTTTTGCAGTAAAGAGATTTCATAAAATGATTTATGGTCGTCGATTTACCCTTTTAACGGACCACAAGCCGCTCTTATCTATATTTGGATCAAAGTCTGGTATTCCTGCATATACAGCAAATCGATTACAACGCTGGGCTATCACGTTGCTTGCTTATGATTTCCAAATCCTATATAAATCAACTGAAAAGTTTGGACAAGCCGATGCTTTATCCCGATTAATCGCGAATCAGAAGCAAAAAAGCGAAGATTCTATCATCGCAACGATATCGTTAGAAAATGATATTCACCATATACTGCAAGTTGCCATAAAAGCAACGCCGTTATCTTCTGAAGATATTAAACGCTATACCCAAGAAGACGATGAATTGAAGCAGATTGTTAGATACCTCAAACATGGTTGGCCTGCCCATATAGACGACAAAAATATTGAACAGTATTCCCACCGGCGAAATTCTCTATCACTTGTGGATGGATGCTTGATGTTTGGAAATCGAGTAATTGTTCCCACAAATTTACGCCGTAAAGTGATGTCACAACTGCATGCCGCACACCCAGGGGTAGCACGGATGAAGGCGCTTGCACGTGGGTATGTATATTGGCCGAACATTGACGCTCAGATCAAAGAATATGTTGAGAGGTGTTCTGCGTGTGCAAAAGCTATCAAAGCCCCTCGGAAGACAGAAATGCAGAGTTGGGGGACACCAACAAAACCGTGGTCAAGAGTACATGTGGATTTTGCCGGTCCCATAAACGGGAAACAGTACTTGGTGATTGTTGATGCTTTCTCAAAATGGCCAGAGATCCACTACGTTAAGTCGCTTTCGACAAAAGCTACTATCGATAAACTGAGACAAGTATTTAGCTGCTTCGGGTGTCCAGATGTATTAGTATCTGATAATGGACCACAGTTCACCTCTGCTGAATTCTCGAAGTTCTGCGTCGTCAACGCCGTTAAGCATATAAAGACACCCCCATACCATCCGCAATCAAACGGTCTAGTCGAGAGGTTCGTAGATACATTTAAAAGAGCAATACTTAAAGCCGAGGGGGAAGGTGAAATAGACGAGACGATTCAAAGATTTCTACAAACATACCGAGCAACACCAAACCCAACAACAAATAATCAAGAAAGCCCAGCAGAAGCAATTTTTGGAAGAAAGATTAGAATACCTATAGAACAAATGAAGCCGAAACCTAAAGCCAACCTCCACAAGAACAGACGAATGGAACAGCAATTCAACAAGCGGCATGGTGCATTGCCCAGAAGGTTTAAGGTAGGACAAGCGGTAATAACAAGAGATTTCACGGGAGTAAAGCCAACTTGGAAGTTTGGCATAATAATACGAAAAAAAGGGAAAGTTATCTACGAAGTAAAAGTTGGACAAAAGATATGGGTACGACATGCAAACCAGATACAGCCAACCAGACAAGAGCGGGAGACAGAAAATGCTACAAAGTCAAATATACCAATAAATATATTAACTGAGTCGAATAGTGAAATTAAAAATGATCCAAATAATAACAAGACGTATGCAACATTCCCAAGGAGGTCGCAGCGCATCAGACGAAAACCTAATCGAATAAAAATAAATCCTAAGGATCATTATTATCTCTAATGCTTCAAAAAAGGGGAGGTGTTATATCCGAGCGAAGATTAAATTACAGGTAACTCCCGAGGTCTATTAATGGACAAATATTCTATAAATATTCTTATTGTAAAACTATTGAATAATTAGATTATGTAAATTTATATCCCTCTTATTATAAGCTTTATTTTGATCTATAATTTATTATTCTACGATTTACGGTTCTTTATCTATGTTCAGTCTATTAATCACTATCTCCCGCGTTCACAGCCACTTTTGGCTTATTTGTGTACATATGTTATTTTCTAATTTATGGTGTGTTGTGGTCTGTCTGTTTGATATATAAACCGAGTATGTTTGAAATAAACGATCTGCCCTAATTCGAAGCTGGTATTGTGTTCTGGACTCAAGTGGAAGGGCTCGTAGTACATAGGACCAATAAGGACGCTAGACTGCCCACACCGGTTGAACGTCATTGGTTGGCCTAGTGTGAAGTTCGCATAAGTCGTATCCGGATTGGTAGATAGGTCGCGTGATAGCGAAACCAGACATACCCAAGGTCATAACAAATGGACTTACCTTTAACACTTCAAAGTGTAAAGTAGTCCATCTGCGACATGTCGCAAACTACAGTTACAACTTAGGAAACTCCTCTCTAGTAGTATCCCAAGTAGAACACGATTTAGGACTCCTGGTGCCCCATGATTTAAAGTCTTACGCTAATTGTGACAAAAATTCCTTCCGAGCAAACCTTGCACTGGTAACATTGAAGCGCATTTTTGGCCAGTTTGACGGAAGAACTTTCCATACAATCTTCAATAGTTTCATCCGTTTCCACTTAGAGTACGGAAACATAGTATTTCTTCCCTCACTCCAAAAGGATAAGGACACTTTGGAGCGTATCCAACGGCAAGCCACGAAATCAGTTCGAGGACCCAAATTTAAGCCTTATGAAGAGCGCCTCCATCCACTAGACCTTTACTCATTAGAGTATAGGCATCTTAGAGGTGATCTACTAATAGCTTATAGTATTCTCAACACTTCTGAGCATCCTTTTAAACACCTACTTAAGCTTAGTTCGAACACTAACCTAAGGGTTAATACACAGAAACTGAAGCCCAGACAACCCAAAAAGGGGAAATGATGGGGAAGAAAAGGGGAAAAAAGGGGTAAATGCTTTGGTGGAGAAAATAGAAATAAAGGAGAAAACGCGCCAGAATGTCGCTTTTTTCGCCTGTCCCGGGGGGAGTAATGCGGATTTTCCCCTTTATCGCCCTTTCGTCGACAAATTACCGACTGACGGCCTAAATATCCGCCGAATTGTCACATTTTCGACTAAATATCCGCTGAATTTTCGAATTTTCACCCAAAAGATCCGCCGAATTTTTGAATCGGCACCTAAATATTCCCAGAATTGTTGCATTTTTGCCTAAATCGGTGAATTTTCGAATTGGCACCCAAAAGATCCGCCGAATTTTCGAATCGGCACCTAAATATTACCCGAATTGCCGCATTTTCGCCTATATTTCGGCGGAATGGCCTACTTATGCGCTTAATTGTCTACTTTTAGCCTAAATACACACATTACTTCCTAGTTTCCATCCTTCGACAGAACCCCAAAGGTGTTCTATGTTCGCCTTCATTTTCAACAACAGACCAAAATATATCTGCAATGCTGTGGAAAAGCGGTAAATTTTTTAACAATTTTATTTATAAGGAAAAGCGATTTATTGTACAAGCTTAAGCATCGATTGTTTTGCATATCCAATGGAATTGCTAATTCATTGTTATTTAAAATTATCTGCAAAAGAAAGAACAGGTGATGTTTTATTTATAAGGAATGTGCATTTAAGCAAAAGTTAAGTGAAACTCAAACACACATTCTCAACACTTCTACAGTTTCCCATGTAAGTAAAAGAGTAAGCTGTTCGAAAAAAAACGTTTATTGAAATGTACGTAGAACATCAAAACAATTGCACGGCTATTGAGAATTGAATTCTGAATTAAAAAAAAGAAAGAAAGTCACAACCATATCTCAATGACATGCTTTGGTACAGCAAAATACTTGAAGCTGAACTTACGGTTATGTTCGTTAGTATTGTTGACTGTAACTATAGAGCCGTAGGGAGGTCATCACTTGAAATTACTACATACCTGGTCTTGTTTTCTTCTAATACGCTTCATCATCTTGTCTCGGATATCGTGAAAGTAACCTTGTGTCGCGATGTCATAGAGCTTACCAATGTCTTTCTCGTTGAGAGAGGATGACAGAAAGCTATGAGTTAAGGCACCTGAAGTTTAAGTAATAGATATAGGTTACTTCGTATGCAGCTGTAAAACGTGCATTTCTGTAGTGTTCGTTTTGAAGAGGTGCCAAGTAACATGAAGTTACTGGCGAGCTCAGGTGTCAAGATGTATGACAGAACAAAACGCATCGACGTCTTTGGATCGTCACTTGATAACCTAGTGACAATTGCTATCTGTAATAGTAAGAAATTATAGAATTCATGTTAATTACTTACAAATCTATCCCTGGTATCTTTCTGCGACAAACCAGTATCCAGCATCTTTAGTTCCTCTTCAGATGACAAAGGAAACTGCTGGAACTCGCTGCCGGACGAGTTAATCCAAGCGACTTCCCAGGAGTCCTTCAAGAGACAACTTGCCTATTCTTAAGGACCCAGGACATCATCATACTATGATTTACCAATTTCTTTTTCCTTTTTATTGTTTACATACCTAGGTTCCTGCCTGGAGGATTTGGTGATCTCCTGCTACTAGACACGGAAGCCTGTTAAGCGAAAGCTTCTTTTATTCCGTCTATAACTATTTGAATCATTTGAAGCATTTGAGCAGAGTCTGAAGGTTGAGCATAACGTGGCGGTTATACAAAAATGGGTTCCGAGGGCCTTCTTGGACTTGGTTTAAATGAAGAAGATGAGAAGCTGCTAAAACAGTTATTGGAGTGTGATTGTGGAATGAAAACAATACTAGCCTTTGTTAGTTCAAGATTGTTTAGACCACTGACTTCTTGGGAAATCAAGATACTTCGCAATCAAGTTTTCCCTGGTTTGATTGATTTCATGAAATTATCTATATTAAGGTTCCAAGAAACTTTCGGACGTACTGGATGAAATACGTAAAGATTCTATTGTGTTCGTGGAGCAGTGTGACAGTGAGATTACTCAAGTCTCTTTGTCACACTATGAGCAGATCGAGCTATATAAGAGGTTCCCAGAAGTTCTTAGTTTCAGTGTCACCTACAACGCTTGTCTCGTTGGGTGAGTGTAAAGTATTCTTTCCAACTTCTTAGATTTACTATTTTCCAGGTAGCTGTAACAGATGGTCTTCTATGTACAAGACCCATCATGTTTTCATTACATTCCACAGAACAAACAGAAGATCTGTGCGTTTTGCTAAAGCATTTCCGTGAAATTTTCAAGGATGTTAGTTCAACCCTAACAGTAGCTGTAGATTGCCCAGTTTCCAAACCGGAGTTGGTGCAGGAATTCTTTCCTACTTCAAGAATTGTTTTGAGTTCGTCATACGTTAGAAAAGTCTTTAAGAGAAAGGTATTATACATTCTTCTTTAACGTACAAGTAGTTTAAAAATCCCGTTGCAAATAAAATTTTTGCTGGATTGACATCTACGTTATGTCCAAACAAGTAAATAAAAACTTTATCAAACCTTTTCAGATTTAAATCTGATCTACAAAATATGAAGAAATTAGATCCGAAAGTTTATGATTACGTCACTCAACATTGGGTACCTATAAAAGAAATGTGGGTGCCTGCGTTCTTACAAAATGTTGTTACATTAGGTACGAAAGTCAATGGTGTAGTAAAATGCGTTCATCCGCATATACGAGAAGCACTTAAAGAAAATGACTCTCTGAAAGATTGCTTGATGGCTTTACATAAGGAAGTTAAAAAATACTGTAACCTCTTAGAAAATGAGACATCTTTTCGCCTTCTCAGACATAAAAGGTTCAATGTAGACGAAGAGTTACATGAATTTCTCAATCAACTCACAGATTATGCTTCTGATAAAACCTACAACGACATCGTACGCGAAAGTGACATCACCATTGAACAAGTTGAGGACGATTGCGTATTATGTTCAGATGATGGGAATTCTTACAGAGTGGATAGAAATAATGGCGTGTGTTCTTGTTCATTAAATTCAGTTGAGTTGCTACCATGCAGACATCTCATGAAAGTCCACTTTTCTATCGGTTTGCATACAGGTAAGTTGGTTTGTATAAAATTTATTCGGTATCTAGGTACACCTTGTAGATACCCGCGGTGGCTTAGATATCATAATCTTCAACCACTATCAACTGCTCTGACGAGGGATAAGCGAACTAACGTCAATAGTGCTATGGCAATGGTTATTAGAAAATTAAAGATGTTACAAGACCAGTGTTCACCGACTGTCGTTTTCGAAACTGTCAATCGAATAAATGCCATCCTCGAAAAATCGACCACGGAAAATTTATGTATATCTCCCACCTTATCAGACTCCTTTTAAATTAAATACTATCTACTTGTAACATTAAGACGGCGCTTGAGTCATTTGACCGATATTCATTTCTCGTTCATCTAAAAATATCTTTTTTTTGCTGTATAAATGATAACTGCATTTAAACTCACTAGTTTGCAATTGACTATGTATTTGTTAAATATTTGATCCACAAAATGTACAGTACTGGAGATAAAAATTTTGTTCAACTGATACATCACATTGGGTAACGATCTACTCAAGACGAGTTTTTCTACCATATGAAGGAAAAAGAACTAATTCGAACAGTCTGACAACCAGGTAACGACTGTGTGCTTTTAATATTATCAATAATATTATTCATTTTTCTATATCTGTAATATAAAACATAACAAAACTGGACATCGAATAATGCCCGTTAACTGTATCTTCTGTCTTAGAAATGAGCGTGTCATATATCACTTCAGTGAGTGGCGTTTCATAAGACCACAATCCACGATATATAAATGTAAATACATGTCATATAAATACCACAGACACTGTGTCTTTCATGAATATAAACAAACATAGTATCGGATATATAACACAAGTTTCTAGACCTTCATATGACGTCTTAAGTACCAGAACATACTCAACTACAAACAACACCACGTAGACCTTAAACAGTATTACGAAACATAAATTTTCCAGAGTTAATCATATCGTTTATCAACAAATTTAGAAAAATTGGAAATACGAATATTCCTGCAAAAGAATTCCACAAAACTTCATGATCCATAGCATAATAATGACCATGAAAGATTTTCATTAGTGCTGTTGTGTCTGCCTCTGTGAAAAGGTGCGCACACGCACAGACGTACATCCAGATAGATAGAGAGACGTCTGACGTTTGAATGTTTATTGCAGACGATGTTTGCTGTGATGATGAGTGGTCGAATGTGTTGTGTGGTAGGTAATTTCGATGTCTGAGTGTGGTTGATGAGTCAGTTTGCGAATGGATTTGGTGAGGGTGTTGTGCTGTGTTGTTTGGTTTGTGATCGTCTAGCGCGATGTTCTTTGTGCGATGTAGAGAGCAGTGTAGTTCGTGTGATCATGCGATAGCTTGTGTCCGCGTGTAACAATATTAATGTAAGCATATGTACATATATATATATATATATATATATATATATATATATATATATATATATATATATATATTTCTGTGACGAATGCGAGGTGAGTGTGATAACATAATTGTGGTGTGAGTTGTGAGTTGAGTTTTCGCTGAGTGTGTGTGTGTGTGTTGAGCAGTCGGTTGGTGTTTGTTATGTGTGTTATGTGGATAAGATTTCTCCCTGTCGTTGGTGTATTGTATTCGTAGGAACTGATCTGTTTGTTTGGAGATTGTGTTATGTTATGTCGGAGAGTGTGGTTGTGGGTGCTAGGAAGACAGACTGTTGAGAGAGTGTATACTGAGTTATTTTGTTGAGTTGAGAACGAGATGTGGCAGTTGTGATGTATATTTGTTTGGTGGTATTTGTTTTTGATAGTGAAGAAAGGCGTGACGATGTACTGAAACGACGAATGACTGTATGACAAATTGATTGATTGTGTATGGTGACAAGGATGTTTGAAGTTGTTGTTGGTGTTGTTTCTGTTGTATCTAGTGAGAGTTTGTGTGTGGAGGTGTGTATATTTGCGACATGTTGTCGGTGAAGGAATACGAGGCGTTTGTTGTGTATTGGATTTATTTGATTGTACTGACTATGGTTTATGTTGATGAGGTGTGTCAGAGACGTGGGTGACAGTCATGAATGTTGGGTTGTTGTGTGTTGGTGAATATGGGTGATGAGTTTGATGCGGCATGGCATGTGATGAGTGAGTTCGATTGTATGTGTGTGTGTGTGTCTGTTGTTGGTTTGTTGAGTGTTTGAATTTGTCTGTTAGTCGAGGTGATTGTTGTGCAAGAGCTCCACATTCCTGGTTGTTGTTCCATGGAATACTAATGACCTTGCGAGATGAATGTTCACCTGTGTTGTTGTGTCTGCCTCTGTGAAAGGGTGCGCACACGCACAGACGTACATCCAGATAGATAGAGAGACGTCTGACGTTTGAATGTTTATTGCAGACGATGTTTGCTGTGATGATGAGTGGTCGAATGTGTTGTGTGGTAGGTAATTTCGATGTCTGAGTGTGGTTGATGAGTCAGTTTGCGAATGGATTTGGTGAGGGTGTTGTGCTGTGTTGTTTGGTTTGTGATCGTCTAGCGCGATGTTCTTTGTGCGATGTAGAGAGCAGTGTAGTTCGTATGATCATGCGATAGCTTGTGTCCGCGTGTAACAATATTAATGTAAGCATATGTATATATATATATATATTTCTGTGACGAATGCGAGGTGAGTGTGATAACATAATTGTGGTGTGAGTTGTGAGTTGAGTTTTCGCTGAGTGTGTGTGTGTGTGTGTTGAGCAGTCGGTTGGTGTTTGCTATGTGTGTTATGTGGATAAGATTTCTCCCTGTCGTTGGTGTATTGTATTCGTAGGAACTGATCTGTTTGTTTGGAGATTGTGTTATGTTATGTCGGAGAGTGTGGTTGTGGGTGCTAGGAAGACAGACTGTTGAGAGAGTGTATACTGAGTTATTTTGTTGAGTTGAGAACGAGATGTGGCAGTTGTGATGTATATTTGTTTGGTGGTATTTGTTTTTGATAGTGAAGAAAGGCGTGACGATGTACTGAAACGACGAATGACTGTATGACAAATTGATTGATTGTGTATGGTGACAAGGATGTTTGAAGTTGTTGTTGGTGTTGTTTCTGTTGTATCTAGTGAGAGTTTGTGTGTGGAGGTGTGTATATTTGCGACATGTTGTCGGTGAAGGAATACGAGGCGTTTGTTGTGTATTGGATTTATTTGATTGTACTGACTATGGTTTATGTTGATGAGGTGTGTCAGAGACGTGGGTGACAGTCATGAATGTTGGGTTGTTGTGTGTTGGTGAATATGGGTGATGAGTTTGATGCGGCATGGCATGTGATGAGTGAGTTCGATTGTATGTGTGTGTGTGTGTCTGTTGTTGGTTTGTTGAGTGTTTGAATTTGTCTGTTAGTCGAGGTGATTGTTGTGCAAGAGCTCCACATTCCTGGTTGTTGTTCCATGGAATACTAATGACCTTGCGAGATGAATGTTCACCTGTGTTGTTGTGTCTGCCTCTGTGAAAGGGTGCGCACACGCACAGACGTACATCCAGATAGATAGAGAGACGTCTGACGTTTGAATGTTTATTGCAGACGATGTTTGCTGTGATGATGAGTGGTCGAATGTGTTGTGTGGTAGGTAATTTCGATGTCTGAGTGTGGTTGATGAGTCAGTTTGCGAATGGATTTGGTGATTGTGTTGTGTTGTGTTGTTTGGTTTGTGATCGTCTAGCGCGATGTTCTTTGTGCGATGTAGAGAGCAGTGTAGTTCGTATGATCATGCGATAGCTTGTGTCCGCGTGTAACAATATTAATGTAAGCATATGTATATATATATATATATATATATATATATATATATATATTTCTGTGACGAATGCGAGGTGAGTGTGATAACATAATTGTGGTGTGAGTTGTGAGTTGAGTTTTCGCTGAGTGTGTGTGTGTGTGTGTTGAGCAGTCGGTTGGTGTTTGCTATGTGTGTTATGTGGATAAGATTTCTCCCTGTCGTTGGTGTATTGTATTCGTAGGAACTGATCTGTTTGTTTGGAGATTGTGTTATGTTATGTCGGAGAGTGTGGTTGTGGGTGCTAGGAAGACAGACTGTTGAGAGAGTGTATACTGAGTTATTTTGTTGAGTTGAGAACGAGATGTGGCAGTTGTGATGTATATTTGTTTGGTGGTATTTGTTTTTGATAGTGAAGGAAGGCGTGACGATGTACTGAAACGACGAATGACTGTATGACAAATTGATTGATTGTGTATGGTGACAAGGATGTTTGAAGTTGTTGTTGGTGTTGTTTCTGTTGTATCTAGTGAGAGTTTGTGTGTGGAGGTGTGTATATTTGCGACATGTTGTCGGTGAAGGAATACGAGGCGTTTGTTGTGTATTGGATTTATTTGATTGTACTGACTATGGTTTATGTTGATGAGGTGTGTCAGAGACGTGGGTGACAGTCATGAATGTTGTGTTGTTGTGTGTTGTTGGGTGTTGATGAATATGGGTGATGAGTTTGATGCGGCATGGCATGTGATGAGTGAGTTCGATTGTATGTGTGTGTGTGTGTCTGTTGTTGGTTTGTTGAGTGTTTGAATTTGTCTGTTAGTCGAGGTGATTGTTGTGCAAGAGCTCCACATTCCTGGTTGTTGTTCCATGGAATACTAATGACCTTGCGAGATGAATGTTCACCTGTGTTGTTGTGTCTGCCTCTGTGAAAGGGTGCGCACACGCACAGACGTACATCCAGATAGATAGAGAGACGTCTGACGTTTGAATGTTTATTGCAGACGATGTTCGCTGTGATGATGAGTGGTCGAATGTGTTGTGTGGTAGGTAATTTCGATGTCTGAGTGTGGTTGATGAGTCAGTTTGCGAATGGATTTGGTGAGGGTGTTGTGTTGTGTTGTTTGGTTTGTGATCGTCTAGCGCGATGTTCTTTGTGCGATGTAGAGAGCAGTGTAGTTCGTGTGATCATGCGATAGCTTGTGTCCGCGTGTAACAATATTAATGTAAGCATATATATATATATATATATATATATATATATATATATATATATATATATATATATATATATATATATATATATTTCTGTGACGAATGCGAGGTGAGTGTGATAACATAATTGTGGTGTGAGTTGTGAGTTGAGTTTTCGCTGAGTGTGTGTGTGTGTGTGTGTGTTGAGCAGTCGGTTGGTGTTTGCTATGTGTGTTATGTGGATAAGATTTCTCCCTGTCGTTGGTGTATTGTATTCGTAGGAACTGATCTGTTTGTTTGGAGATTGTGTTATGTTATGTCGGAGAGTGTGGTTGTGGGTGCTAGGAAGACAGACTGTTGAGAGAGTGTATACTGAGTTATTTTGTTGAGTTGAGAACGAGATGTGGCAGTTGTGATGTATATTTGTTTGGTGGTATTTGTTTTTGATAGTGAAGAAAGGCGTGACGATGTACTGAAACGACGAATGACTGTATGACAAATTGATTGATTGTGTATGGTGACAAGGATGTTTGAAGTTGTTGTTGGTGTTGTTTCTGTTGTATCTAGTGAGAGTTTGTGTGTGGAGGTGTGTATATTTGCGACATGTTGTCGGTGAAGGAATACGAGGCGTTTGTTGTGTATTGGATTTATTTGATTGTACTGAC